GGTGCACGGCCAGCCGGAACCACACTGTGCAGGGCAGTGACCTGGGCTATTGGAGAGCCCCCCAGCTTGGCCCCAGCAGCCTCAAGTCAGAGTTTCCTGCAAGGCGGAGGCCACGCCTGGAGGCTAAGCTGGGGCAGATGCCTCTGGTTGCCTCCATGCTCTGCCTTTGGGGGCCTCGGGGGCCCAGGGGGGCAGCTGGCAGGACTGAGGGCATGGCCTCGCCCTGCGAGGGGCTTTCCTCCGTTCCCCAACCTTGACCAGCTAACTTCTCATTTTGTGGTGCCAGGGGGTTCAGCCCAAGATGGTGATGGAGTACTGGACGGGGTGGTTTGACTCCTGGGGGGGCCCCCACAACATCCTGGATGCTTCCGGTAAGTGCTTACAATCCCTACGTCTAATGGGGGTGGGAATAAGTTCTGACGTCCCCGTCACTGAGCCTGCAGTTTATTTGCATGTCAGAGTTGGCTCTTGATACTCCAGAATCATGTGTCTTGACATCTGAAGTGAACAGTAGGATTTTTATTTTATTTTATTTATTAAAAAACACATTTTTATTGATTTCAGAGAGGAAGAGACGGGAGAGAGAGAGAGAAACATCAATGATGAGAGAGAATCATTGATCAGCTGCCCCCTGCACGCCCTCTACTGGGGATGGAGCCCACAACTTGGGCATGTGCCCTGACAGGGAATCGAACCCGGTGACCTCCTGGTTCACAGGTCAACGCTCAACCACTGAGCCACGCCGGCTGGGCAACAGTAAGATTTCTAAATGGCTTTATTATGATTTTGTAATGAGATGAGGAACACACGCCCGTGGCAAACATCCAGCAAATATAGAAAACGCCTAAAGAAGAAATAAAAATCCTAGAGCCCAGACAGTACAGTGATGCGCACTGTCCAGGCAGCTGTCGCTCTGCCCCTGTCGGCAGCCCTGTGTGCACGTACAGACGGGTGCGGACAGATGCCGTCACGTCTGTTTCTGCGCAGGACGTGTCGCCTGCTGGTGCTGGCGAGTGACACAAATGGGCAGCTTTCTGTCGTGTTCGGTGTAAATTCCTTCGCTGTTTCCAAGAGGCCCACTGTATGGTGTCTCAGTCAGCTACGTGCCCAGTCTCTTGTAGACATGCACTGAGGTGGTTTCCAGTGTGTCCTGTGAATCCAACACCATGGCACTGAGTATTCTGGAACATCCAGTTTTGCACACTTGGCCTGTTTTTCCCAGTGACAAGTTCCTAGCAATACCCTGACTGCACGAATGCAATTTTGATAAATCTATTTACTAAACTGCTGCCCAGGATTGCAGCAATTCTTAACTCTCCGTTATTCAAGGAGAATACCAGTTTCCCACAGATTCGTCAACACGGAGTATGAAATAATTTTCATGTTTGCCAATCTGATAGGTCGTTCTTATTTTGCATTTCTTTGACCAATGCTGATGTGTGTGTGTGTGCACGTGTGTGTGTCTATTTATTAACCATTTATATTTCTCCTTTGATACTGTCTTCATGTCATTGGTCCATTCTCTAATAAGGGGAGCATTGGGGAGGAAGTCAGCACCATATCCCTACCTATGAGCCCCCCTGCTTGTGTCTCAGTGAGGGGGCGTAACGTTACGAAGCATGTTGAGGGCAGGCGGAAGCTGCCCTGGGTCATAGTCGATGAAGGCTTGTCTGTGATTTTATTTTTTTAAAATATATTTTATTGATTTTTTACAGAGAGGAAGGGAGAGGGATAGAGAGTTAGAAACATCAAAGAGAGCGAAACATCGATCAGCTGCCTCCTGCACACCCCCTACTGAGGATGTGCCTGCAACCAAGGTACACGCCCTTGACCGGAATCGAACCTGGGACCCTACAGTCCACAGGCCGGCGCTCTATCCACTGAGCCACACCAGTCAGGGCTTGTCTGTGATTTTAAAAACAACTGCAAGGCCCAAGCTCTGGAGCTGGGATCCCGGTGACTCCTCTTCCTCCTCGGATGACGCGGGCGTCGGGGAAGGAAGGACAGCCAGGGGGTTGAATTGGGAGGGGGGGAGGGGAGACGGTGAGAGGCGAGAGTGCCTGGGGGACATCTGGCTTGTCTCAGACTCGGGCTCACTGCGCATGCCCCTCCCCGCTCCCTGTAGAGGTTTTAAAAACCGTGTCGGCCATCATCGACGCCGGCTCTTCCATCAACCTGTACATGTTCCACGGAGGCACCAACTTCGGCTTCATCAACGGAGCCATGCATTTCCATGACTATAAGTCCGACGTCACCAGCTACGGCAAGTGTCCCCCAGGGCCGACCCTTATCGGTGTGCCCGGGTTTTTACCGAGAGTCCTTCAGGGACAGCCCTGGCACCTCGAATGCATTTGGCTCAAGTGCCCGGGAGAGGGAGGGGGAGGTTTGGCGTGGACGTTCACTTTTCAACCTGCAGAGCAGTGGGAGGCCGGAGCCCACTGGCAGGCCACGAGCACTGGGGAGTCGGCGGGAGGAAGTGAGAGAGGTCCCCCCTTCCCCAGGTGGAGAGGTCCCGCTCAGGCCCTGGAGGTGCTGTGACCCCCTGCCCTCCAGAAGGCAGGAAAGACACCGGGACCTGTCGGGCTGTGCTGTGGCCATGGGCAGTTTGGCGGCATTTTGCAGTATTTAGTCGTATTTAGAGTCTTCTGGCTGACAGGTCACCCCCGAAGTGTTCTGCCTCCCACTTGCTGGGACGAGGGCCATGCTGCCCGACCCCAGCGTCTCCCCTCTCTCTTTCTGCCGAGTGAGCAGTGACAGGGCCCCGTGTCTTGCAGACTATGACGCGGTGCTGACCGAGGCCGGGGACTACACAGCCAAGTACGTCAAGCTCCGAGAGTTCTTTGGCTCCATCTCAGGTACCTGGCGAACAGCAGCCAAGCACCAGCGTGGGCCCTTGCTCTGGTCGAAGAGCCCCTACAGAGTCCCTTCTTCCCTGCCCGCCTCCCCTGAGACGGTCTGTGTGCGAGAACCCCTCAAGGCCGGGACGGGCCGGCTTGGGAGGCTGTTTGCATGTGGCTGTGTCTTGCCCGGGTTGCCCGTTTGCAGGTGCTGACTTCTGAGGGCTTGAGAAAGCTCCTGTGCGCCCCCCCAACACACCCCTCCCTCGGCTTTCCCTTCCCAGTGGGTCTAGGCGTGTCAGCGGGTCGGCCTGTCCCCGGCGGTGCTCGGACTAAGGAGCACATGGGGCCATGGATAGGAATGTGGAGGGGGGAGTTGAGGGGAGAAAAGGGGGGCCGCTGGAGGAGGTAGTGACTGTTTGGTCCTTTCGGGGGGGCCCTGTGGTCTGTGTTGCAGGCAGCCCTCTGCCTCCCCCACCCGAACTTCTTCCCAAGACGGCGTATGAGTCCCTGCGGCCGGCCCTGTACCTGTCGCTGTGGGATGCCCTCCAGTACATGGAGCCGGTGAGCGCTGCCGCAGGGGGGCCGGGCCAGGGAGCCCTCCCTGCAGCTGTCCGGGAGGAAGAGAAAAAGGGAGCAGGAAGTGGGAAAGCCCAAAAGGAACCTGAAGGGAGGCTGGGCAACGCGAGGGGTTCCGTTTCCGCAGGCTCCGCGGGAGAGAGGAGGGTGCCCTTCCCGTAGCTGATGCAGAGAGAGGGTTGTGTGACCTGAAATGATGGTGGGTTGAAAAGCTACAAGGCCCCGCTTAGCAGGGCTTTATTCTTTTTCTTTTTTTCCACATCTTCTTCCTCCTTCACATCCCCCTTCCCTGCGACTCTGGAGAGCCATGAGAAATCAAAATAGAAAACGTTGTTAAAGGCCCCTGCCCGCCACTGCCCCCAGGGCACTAGCCCCCAGGTGGGGGCTGTCTGCTTACCCTGCCCTTCCCCAGTGGGTCCAGAGGAGGTCGCTGCCTTTCCCCCCACCCCGGCTAGCCCTGTGCCCCCTCCTGTCTGTCCTCTGTGCAGCCAACCATCTCTGAAAAGCCTGTCAACATGGAGAACCTGCCAGTGAACAATGGGAATGGCCAGTCCTTCGGGTACACGCTGTACGAGACAACCATCGGCTCACCTGGCGTCCTCAGGGGTCTCGTGCGTGACCGGGGACAGGTAGGAGCGTCTCCTCTTCCGCCCTGTGCCCCGGCAGGGACCGGGCTGACAGCATCCCTCCCGTTCGCGCTCGCGTGCCCCGCTGGCACCAGTGTGTACAGGTGGGCCTCGCAGTGCGGCTCTCTCTTCGCTTGGCAGAGGCTCCCCCCCTCCCTCCCGTCAGCCCGATGCTCTGTCCGTTTGTCCGGCAGGTGTTTGTGAACACAGTGTTCATTGGCTTCTTGGACTATGAGCGGAAGGACATCGTCATCCCCTTAATCCAGGTCCGTTTCCTGGGGAGCTGGGCGGTGGGTAGCGCCAGCCTCTTCCTCAGCAGGTTTGGCGGGAATCAGAGCGGAGGACCTGGGAACCAGGGGCTCCTTCACCGGAGCTGTGCGTGGGGAGCGAGCGGGCAGAGCCTCGGTTTCTGATCGCAGGGGCGCTGCCCCTCCCATCCTGGCCGCTCAGGGAGGGGCTGGAGTGCTCAGGGGAGGACACGGTCATCATCCACCCGTGTTCCCGTGTTCCCGGCAGGGCTACACCCTGCTGAGGATCCTGGTGGAGAACTGCGGGCGTGTCAACTACGGGCATAACATCGATGAGCAGCGCAAAGGTGGGTCACGGCGCACGCTGGGCGAGGAGCTGCTGGCACTCAGCGTGGGCTGGCTGTCCTTTCTCCGCCCAGCTCCTCAGCAGGCCTCCGGGCTGGCTGCAGGGAGGGGTCATGGGGAGCCGTTGGAGGGAGGGGGTCATGGGGAGCCATTGGAGCGAGGGGGTCATGGGGAGCCGTTGGAGGGAGGGAGTCATGGGGCCCAGTGGAGGGAGGGGGTCATGGAGGCCCA